TGTGGCAGTGCTATTGGCTGGTGACAGAGCAGTGTAGCTGTCATCATTGTTCTTATTTTTAGAAGTGTTTAGGGGACAATAACTTGATCCTATAACTTGTGCCTTGAAAAACCTCCCTGCTCAGTGTATCTCAGTTGGATTTATTGCAAAGTGTATTTTATCCTACTTTTTTTTCCCAAACGCTTCCAAGTGGTAGTGGTACTTTAAGGAGGGGACACTTGTGCCAAATGGCAGTGATAAAGATGAAACATCTGCTTCTTTAGAAACCTCCTAGTGAAGATTGCTTTCTGGAGGAAAGTCAGGATAAGACATTCCTCTGAGGACTGTCATCCTCAGTGGGAGGCTACACAGCAGAAAAAATAACCCTCCAGTTCGGAAAACACAGCTTGGAGAGGCAGAAGGCAGTACAATCAGGGGCAATAAAAATATTAAGTACACTAATAATGAAGCACTTCAAAAGAAATCCCTTTTTTAAGGCCTCTGATCTAAAAGATGTGGAAATGGTATTTACTGTATGCAGGGAGGTTGCAGATTCCTTCACTAAAGCCATTGATGAAACAATTGAAGGTGACTGTAGAGAGATCATAGAACTAAAAGAGCGATCTGCCTTGGGTGGAATGTCATTTATGTGTTTCACCAAATTTATTAGGTTTTTATAGGGCCAGAAGAGAGAGATTAGAGTGTTGTCTCTTGGGTCAGATGAGATTATATGGGGCTGTACTCTAAATAGTTTATTACTCCCTGAACCATTTTTGCCTGTGTTCTGAGCCTGGCAGGAAAAGAACAGGCAGATAATAAGAAAACCTTCAACAGACAAAATCCAGTAGCTGTCAGGCAGATCCTGACCAAGAACCGCGTGTTTCTGCACTAACAGCCATTTAGGTCGCAAGCTGAGAGATGAGACTTCCTGCACCTTGTCGATGTGACTTCACTGCACGTACAGGCTCGCAGACGCTCTCGGCTGCAGTGTCGGGGAAGGCCGTTTTGTTTTCACGTGCGGGAGGTAGGAGCCCGAGCTACCCTCCCAGCCGGGCGTTCCCTTCTGCCTGGTGAGAAGCCCTGATCCGGTTGGAGTCAGCCCTGCTGCCTGACTGCGGTCCCACGTTACTCTGCTGCCTCACCCTTAGCTGTACCGCTGCCATCTTCCGCGAGCAGGCGGAGCAGTTCCAGCTGTCCCGTTCTGCTGTGCTGTGTCGGCGGTCATTCGCACCCTGTGCTACCTTAGCAAACGATGCTCGTGGACCGCAGAGAACAGCCTGTTTCTGCTCGTTCCTTCTCCTGCCCAGCAAAAGCTTCTCGCAGCTGAATTCCTCACAGCGCTGGTGCGTATCTTCCTTTTGCATTCCGGGGAAGATTGTAGAACCATCCTTGTTCGCCACAGGTTAGGATGGGTTTTGTTGTGGGGAAGAGTTGCCACACTCTTCCCATTCTACCTTCTCAACTCACAACTACCTTCATCGCCAGATTTCCTGGGGTAAAGGCTCCCGTTCATTACACCTAGGGGCATGGCTAGTGGTGGACTTGGCAGTGTGAAGTTTACGGTCGGACTCGGTGATCTTGAAGGTCTTTGCTAACCTAAGTGATTCTACAATTCCTTCTGGTGCATCTAGCAAGAGGGTCCCCAGTGCCATCCATTACCTTTTCCGAAGGTTGCTATTTCCAGGCGAAATAAGTGGGAGGTGCTTTTTCTTTCTGCTTACTGCCAGGTCTTTCATTTACTGTAAATACCACTTGGGCATTGTTACAGCTGAGGACTTCTAAATGCAAAGTTCTTCTGGAAAAAGAAGTGCAGGTAATATTGCTGGGTGTCTGGAGACATGGGTTTATTTCTAGGAAAGGAGGAAAAGACTTCTGGATCCTGAAAATTCCAAGGTGAAATAAAAAAAAAAGTTTTAGAAAACCCCAGAGAAACTATGAAGAATGAAGTCTCTCTGAAGACAACTCCCTTTCTGGAGCTGAAACTAAAATACAGACAGCAGAAAACACTATGCAGCATTTAAATAACACAAGTGACCTGCCCCTTTGTAGCAGCTGGTCTCCCCTACTTACTGTACAAACAGGATCCTACCTGCCACCAGCTGCAAACGCCCTTGTGCCCCTCATCCCATCTGAGCGCACGTGCTGGGCAGTGGGGACTCCGTCTCGTCGTACATCACCATCAAGTACTTAAGCAGCGTTCCACAGTAACGTGCAGGGCTGTACTTCCTATTTGTGTAGATGTTTTAGATGCACAAATAGTTGCTTTCAGTTATATAGCGGTGGTGGGTTTTTTTAACTCCTTGCTCTCAGCAGTGGAGACTATTATGAGAGAGAACTGGAATTGTTCACAGCCTTTTATACCCAAAGGAACTGAGGCTCCCATATGACTGAGTTTGGTAATTGTCAGTGTGCTTTAATCTGTGGTGAAATATTTATTTTGATGCTGTTACTCCATTACCATTTATCGTTTAACTATTCAAGGTCAATAGATATATGTGTATTTTATGTTTTACAGGTGTCTGTATTTATCATGTATCTTTAATTTGTAGATACACAAGCAATTTATAGATAGATAAGCAATGTGAAATGTCGGTAAGACCATCGCATCGTAACCTGAACGTAGGCAGCTCTCCCCACCCTGTGTGCGAGTGGACACCCGCACAGCCAGGACAGTCTGTGATTTTCCTCCCTGCTCTGAGCGCTGCAGGATGTCCTTCTCAGGTGTCTGGCTTTGGCCTCTGCTGATACAAAGAGCAGTCTGCATCTCTGCTGTACTGGTTTGAGAACAGTGCCCTGGTACGTGCTGTTGTGTGTCGATCACGGCCGGCCGGGGGCAGTAAGCATATGCGGTCTAGGGAAGACTTGGTTTGCACCTTGCCGTAAGACAGGACAGGCAGACGAGTAACTTTTCCAAGTTGTTTTCTGTCTTAAGTGCAAACGTCTTGGCGTTTGGGGCAGAGGGTAACGGGAGCAGGAGGAAATGCGAGCACCCCAGTCACTGCATGGAGCGTGTCTGTCTGCTTTTGCCAGGGGATGAGGAGGGGCAGCCCTCGCATGCAGAACGTGCCCCGGCCAGACTGTGGTTCTGTTTTCCTCATCCCGCTGCTTAGAATTAGACTGGAGGTTCAATATGGTGCGATACAGCTGCGCAGGTATTTTCTGACTGTGGCTGAAGGTTTCATGCCTGAACAAGAACCCGTACCTATAGGGGCCAGCAGGTTTGGTGGCGTTCAGAGCGTAAATTATGCGTGACTGAAATGAAGTGTGTTTTAGTTGCAGATAGCTGAAAAGCCTTGCAATATACTCCTAATTCAGTGGCATTGCCTTGAGCTACTCTGAGGCCTCTCTCTTAAACTCCGACATTAGCACAAAGCACACCTCTGACTGCAGGCATTTAAAGATCAACGAGGGCCAAAAAAGCTTTTAAGATCCAATGAAACCAGGAAAACAATCGTGTTGCCTTTCAGTGTCAGGTTAGATTGCCTTCTTATGAGTGCAGCTATTTTAGGTACAGAGTGCTTAGTGGTTTGGGTCTTGTTGTGTGGAGAAAGTGTTCCCCGGAAAACATCTGTTTCTTTCACCTGCAAACCGCAATGTGCTGTGAAAAGACAGGACTGTAGCCACAGGGACCCAGGGGGATGCAGGAAATCTGGCTCAAAGGGATGAACATGGTTTTCTGAAACACGGTATCAAAAAGAGCACTTAAAAGGAGAGAGTGCTTTTAGAGCACACGATACACTGCAAACTGGGCAGGTCAGGTGCTTGTAAGCTTGAAATTCTTCCTGGATTGCCCATGCTGTTTTCTTAGCAGCAATAGTTGCGTTCTGCTCGGAACTGCAACAAGAGGAGTTTGTTATGTTTTCAGCAACTGTAAAATGTTCCCCTTTTCCGTAGGGTAGCAAGAAATCCCACTGTCATCTGCAGCATCTAGAATGTGTATAGGCAGAATAGCTGCTGCTTTCCCTTTGTGTTCGTGCTGCCTTCCCTTGCCGTCACTCAAGTTCGGGGGCAGCTCTCCTCTATGTTCTACACGTGCAGCACCGCACCCTTGACCTGGGAAAGTCTTTGTAGCGTACTGTAAGCCAGCCGAGGGGGTGAGGTTAACATGATGCTGTGTGTGGCACAAGTAACAGACGAGGTAACTATTCCATCTGAATGTACAAAAGACATTACAGAGGTAGGGATTTACACACTGAAGCTACATGGATTTACAACTGCTAGAGCTGGCCGGTCTGGCTGTGCTGTTTCCCACAGCAGCGTTTGTGCTGGAGAGGCATGCCTGCTGCTTTGGTAAACTCGTGTTGGCCACGGCACCCGGCACCGAGCAGGGGAAGGTGCAGCCATTTGTCAGGAAACATACTGGATGCTGTTTCCTCTTCTGTTAAGTCCACTGGGTTTCACAGGAACAGGTTTTAAAAGCACCAGAAGGGAAGTGGGAGTGCAGAAAAACACAGGGAAGCTGCTCGGGAGCAATGGTTATGCCGTTGCGTTCAGCATGGTAACAGTATAGGGTCACGAAGGCAGCTCAGGTGACAAGTGGTGACGAGTGACCGAGGGGAAGGAGGCAGCTGGGTGGTGTGATGGACCAGCCCCGCAGGTCTGTGCGTGCTGTGCCCACAGCTCGGCCTGCCAGGGTCACCGCCAGCTTTCTGCTTGTGCCGTTCGTGCGAGGGGAGGGCCCCACGGACCAGAACAAGGCCAGCGGGGAGGGGACAGGCCTGGGGAACCCGTCAGCTGTGTCAGGCTCTGGAATGGTCGTGCAGCACGTTTTCTTTGGAGCCTAGAATGCTTCATTCCCAGGCTGCTCCCCTAAAGAACTGCGAGAAATGATAATCCCCATTTGGGCTGCAGGTGGGTGGGGGTGCAGCGTGTTGCCAAAGCGCACCCGGTCTTGTGGGATAAAAATACAGCAGGGGTGGGGCTGTGGGCATGCAAGGGCAGAGGAGAGCCTTTCACGGGGCGGAATTTCAACCCTTTAATCAAATAACGGTCTTCTAATGGCTGCCTCTCCGTTCTTTCAGAGGATGACATGAACAATTACATCAGCCGATACTACAATGAGCCTAGCAGTGGTAAGTGTGGCTGGAAAATGTGAATGTGAACGGCATTTTTGCATTGCACCGTGTGCTGTAAACCAGGTGAGGCTGCATAACGGTGTCGGTCCGCGCTGGCAGTGAAAGCCGCTGCGGCATCTCTTGGTTCGCTCGTGGAAGTTTGTACCAAAGTAGTAATTCTCTGATGGTTGAAGGGCTCCGAGTTTGCTCCTGCGGGAGGCGGCACTTGTTATGGCTTGGAGATCTGGGAGGGGGTAATCCCCCCGCTGGGCTGTCGGCTGCCCAGCAGTCCAGGCAGAGCTGTGAACGCAGAGCGTGGCCAAGGGAAGTGGCGAAGTGAGGAGTTAGCTGAGCCCAGCACCGTGCTGGAACCCTACAGAAAGGTTCAGCGGAAGGGCAGGAAACGTCAGTCATGGTCCGTGACCTGAGGTCAGAGTTCATATGGATGCCCCCGGCAGGAGTCCCGCCGGCACGGAGGTCTCTCTGCACGCAGCCAGAGCGGGGCAGGCCCTGCTCTGCGGCTGCACCCGGGGCCGAGGGGCCTGGCGGGGTCAGGTGGCCGGGCACAGGCCCTGGGCACAGAGCTGCCATTGCTGGCAGGAGGCTGGATGGGCAGGCTTGGAAATGTGGTGGCGGGCAAGGCTGTGCAGGCACCACAGGTACCTGAGATTTCAGATATATGTATGTGTAAATAAGAAGTGTGTCTACCGATAACATATATACATGTATATCATACGTGTACTATATGTATGTCCCCATGTATACACAGGGTGATATAAAGATGTGTCTGCCCATATATGTACATATGTACTGAAA